GCGTGGCGCTGGCCGTGCTGGCGCGGCTGCGCCGGGCCGGGCCGCCCGCCGTGCTGCGCTGCCTGGGCGCGCAGCGCTTCTCGCTGGCCGGCGCCGCCTTCCCGCCCGACTTCTGCGAGGGCACCTTGCCCTACTCCTACAACCTGTGCGTGGCCGCGCCGGCCCGCGCCGCCGCCGAGGCCGCTTGGCCGCCGCCGCCTCTGCCCATCCTGCCCGCCGAGGAGCTTCTGGCCGGGGAGCCCTGCGACAAGCCGAGCCCGAGCAGCAGCGCCGTCGCAGGAGATCCACCCGCCGACCCCGATGCACCACAGGTCTGTAAACCCCTTCACTCCTTCCCTCTGAGCTTTTTGTAAGGGTGTGCAGGTGTCATTGGGCTCTTGGGGTTTGTGTTCTGGTGCAGTTAGTGCTGGTCGTTGTTTCCATGAGCGCATGTAATAATTCTGCCCCTTTAAGGCTGCAGGCTGTAAGAACGGGCACCTCCTGTCTCAACAGCTTCCAGACATGTCAGCTTAGTTGGGAGGTTCTTGTCGTTTAACTTATGGTGCATAAAACCGGGAGGGACTTGTAAAGGACTGCTTCTACTTTCTGGTTTTTTTATATTTTTTCTCAGAGCAGTAGCGACAGCACCTCTTTGTTCAACTGCTCAGGTTTTTCTGCAAACCTTGTATTTTGTGAAATACTATGGGTTAATAACGGTGTAGGTGGTTACTTAGAAAGCCATCTGATAATTCCACATAGTGGATTTGGCAATGGGATTGACGCTCAATACTGAGGTTTTTCCTTCCTGATCCTTCTTTACCGTGTAGATACACGGCGACTTGTTTGTTTTTTCAGAGTTTAAGGAAACTTGCTAGATGAAGGGAGAGTTGTTCTTTCCTAAGGAGTATGCCTACCTTCCACCCTGTGCCGTCCCAGTTTTTGGTGTGAGCTACTGAAATGGCAAGCTATAGTGAGATCAGTTTATTTTATCAGAGTTTTATTTCCTTGTTCTCTTTCTGCTATTATTTCTCATTCACAGTTTGGTGGTTCCTTCTTATTTACCATTCTGTAGCTGACTTTATTACGGAGAGATTAAATGTGATCTAAAAACTGCTGAATAGCATCTCTCTAAGGCTGTGATCAAGAATGGGACACTAAGCTGTATACAAAAACAGGATCTTATGTTTAGGATGTAATGGAAAAATCGGAAGTACTGGTTGGAGGAGAGCAATGCAGGCTGATTCAGAGCAGCCTCGGATGTGCAAGTGAAAAGTGAAAAAGCAGAGAGGGAAGGACAGGCCATAGAATCCCTGCTTTTGAGGAGGAATCTTCATCGCTGCTATGTGCAATAGCTCAGGCCTGGAAATCTACCGTGGCTGGAGGTGTTTGAGTGTTGACACTCGGTGAGGAAATATTAGAGAACGAATGACACAAAAACCTGTGCATTTGCAGGGAAAATGTTATACTTTCCTGCCGTAGAAGAGTAAGTTCGGAATACTCTGCATGCCGTATTAAGAGAACTTTGTATCTAGAGATTATCGCAATCACATGAGTATTTTCCCGTGCGGTAGAAAGAACATAACGCCAGGTCTCCTCTGTATTGGACCCGACATTTTCGTGGCAACTGTCCCGTCTTTTTGAGCTTCCCGTGACCGAGGCGGGGCGGGCATCTCTCGGCAGCGCTCGGTGCCTGCAGTGCCGGGAGGAGGCTGCGGGCGCCGCTGTTGACCGAGAGGAGAGAGAGGAAGGTCGGAGCGCTGCAGCCCCGCCCGCTGCGGACCGGCTCGATCGCTGGATCGCTTGATTCTTGCCTCGGAAAGTGGTCGATTTCGGATCATTTCCGCGGTGCAGAGCAGAGATACAGTGAGGTGGAGGGGCCGGAGTAGCGGCAAGTCGGAGCCGGAGTGTGAGCCCAATCGGCGATTGGTGGCGGGGATCTGCCGGTGGTGTTGCAGTGCCGGCGGTGTTGCGGCGGCGATGTGCTCGGCGGGGAGGCGCTGGGGCCGGCGGCAGCGAGTCCTGCTCTGGGGCGTCCTGCTGGCGGCCTGGGAGGCGGCGTGGGGGCAGCTGCACTACTCGGTGCCCGAGGAGATGCCCAAGGGCTCGTTCGTGGGCGATGTGGCCAAAGACTTGGGGCTGCAGCTGCCGGCGCTCAGCGATCGGGGCGTTCGGCTCTTCGATAAAGGTAGGACGCAGTATTTTGCTCTGCATGGGAAGACGGGACATTTAGTGACGACCGAGAGGATCGACAGAGAGCAGCTGTGCCGGCTGGTGGAGAAATGCGTGCTGCGCTGTGAGCTGATAGTGGAGGGAGAAATGAAGGTTTACGGAATCGAAGTAGAAGTCAAGGATATTAATGACAATGCACCCAGCTTCGGAGAAGCAGAAACTGAACTCCGAATGAGCGAGACAACAGCCCCGGGGTCCCGGTTTCCACTTGCTAGAGCTCACGACCCCGACTCGGGACAGAATTCCCTGCAGAGCTACGAGCTGAGCGGCGACGAGCACTTCTCGCTGGCCGTGCAGACGGGCCCCGGCGGGGATCAGCGTCCCGAGCTGGTGCTGGCGAAGGCGCTGGACCGGGAGGAGGCGGCGTTCCACGAGCTGGTGTTGAGGGCGATGGACGGCGGCGATCCGGCCCGGACGGGCACGGTGCGGATCCGCGTGACGGTGCTGGACGCGAACGACAACGCGCCCGTGTTCAGCCAGGCGGAGTACACGGTGCGTGTGGCGGAGGACGTGCCCGTGGGCTCCATCCTCGTCACCGTCTCGGCCACCGACCCCGATGAGGGTATGAACGGGCAAGTAAAATATTCGATGAAGAAAGAGAAGAACATGGCATCGGATATATTCCATCTCGACGCTGAGACGGGAGCAATCACGTTGTTGCGCAACCTGGACTTTGAGGAAGGCGACTTTTATGAGCTGGAGGTGCAGGCACATGATGGTGGAGGGCTTTTCGACACGACAAAAGTTGCGATCTCCGTGACAGACGTCAACGATAACGCGCCAGAACTGAGAGTATCGTCGGCGCTAAGTGAGATTTCTGAGGACGCGCCGTCAGGAACGGTGGTGGCCCTACTGCACGTGCACGACCACGACTCGGGGGCCAACGGCGAGGTGCGCTGCTCTCTCGAAGAGAGTGTCCCGTTCCTCCTGGAGAAGTCCCTCGAGGGCTACTACCGAGTGGTGACAGCGAGAGAGCTGGACCGGGAGCAGCAGTCGGAGTACAACGTGACGGTGCGGGCGTCCGACGGCGGGTGGCCGGCGCTGCAGAGCAGCAGGGTGCTGGCGCTGCGGGTGCTGGACGTGAACGACAACGCGCCGGTGTTCTCGCAGGAGCGCTACAGCGCGCGTCTGCGGG